TGGTAGAACGGTGAAAATTTAGGGTTGTTTGTATTTTTTAATGCCAAATTAAAAAAATTAAAATATATTTTTTTTTAAATAAAATAAATGGGGGTGGGCTACCCTTATCACTTAAGGGTATAAAAAATATATAACAACCTGTTTTCAGACCTACTCAATATACTTATAAAATTTCATCAAAATCGGCTAAGCCGTTTCGGAGATGGCAACAAAAAAAAAAAAAACAACCCTATTAAAAATAGGGGATGATAGCAGAACGGTGAAAATTTAGGGTTGTTTGTATTTCTTAATGCCAAATTAAAAAATAAAAAACATTTTTTTCTTTTCAAAAACTAAAAAAAATGAGGGTGGGTTACCCTCTCGGCTACCCTTATCAGTTAAGGGTATAAAAATAGATAACAACTTATTCTTAGACGTACTGAATATACATATAAAATTTTATCAAAATCGGTTAAGCCGTTTCGGAGATGGTAACAAAAAATTAAAAAAACAACCCCTATTAAAAAATAGGGGATGAAAGTAGAACGGTGAAAATTTAGTGTTGTTTGTATTTTTTAATGGCAAATAAAAAAAAAATAAAATATTGTTTTTTCACAAAATAAAAAAATGGGGGTGGACTACCCTAAGGGTACTACCATTTAAGGGTATAAAAAATATATAACTACCTATTTTCAGACCTACTGAATATACATATAAAATTTCATCAAAATCGGTTAAGCCGTTTCGGAGGAGTACGGTAACCAAAACTGTAACACGGGAATTATATAAGATAATATTATACCTATGTAAACTGCGGAGTGCGGAGAACGGAAAGACTGATTATAGCGATAGATAAAATTTAAAACTATAATTTAAAACTATTCAAGAAAGTACACACAAAACAAGGCAACGCCGCGCGTCTATTCGTTCAATTCCGAGCAAAATAGCGAGGCTCCACGAAGTTGGGGCCTCGCTCGCCAAAGCGAGGCCCCATCGACAGGTCAGATTTTGATGCCAGACGAGACTTCTAGGGTATTAAGATATTCTTTACTACCAGCTACTACCAGCCTTAAAAAACAAAATGTCAAAAAAAATCTTAAAATTTCTTTTGTTTTTAATTATAACATCCATAATCTTTTGTATTTGACATTGATCTTGTGACACCCTCTATATTTTATTTAAAAAAATTATATTTTATTTTAAAAATAATAATTAAGATAGATATTTTAATTTTAATTTTAACACTCGGTAATTGTAAATTCATATATAGTAAATATCTAAAACAATTTTTTAAACTCAGTACCTTTTGATGGAGTTGTTTTGTTTTTATAATATCCGATTGAAATTAAACTTTTTGGGCATTCACCTGTTAAGCTTGAACTCCCTGTGACTGTGACTACCTGTGTTGGTAACTATTGGTAACTCAAAAGATCTACATCATTCAATATATCGATATTTGAAAAAAAGTGAAAGTTTGATATCTGCAGAACAAAGGCACGAAGGATTTTAACAAATAATATACGCACAGTAGAAAAGTACATACCTTTGGCAATCTTCAACATAATTTGGCTTTGGAATAAAATGTATAAGCACTTGTAAATATTTTGTTTTCGTATGATCTCTGCTTTGCTGAGCAGAAAACGACCAAATTTGGTTGATAAAAATGTATCGAAATACAAAGAATATTCATGCATTTTTATATCAATTGAAATGTCTACTATTTATTCTTACAGTACACATTTTTTAGCTTATTTCTAACCAAACGCTTTTGTCCCGCTAAATTTATCTTCCAACGCACTGTGCGCTCGTCCGTCAAATGCAAAAATAACTGTCACTGTCTAAAATCTTTAGCGCCCACTTCAACTCGGTCGCCAGATGACGTAAAAAAACTGACAGTGCAGGAAGATAGGAATCGAACTATCCTTATCTCTATAGTATCCTTGATCTACTAGAGGTGGGCAAAGATTGAACGGGTCGTTCATTTGAACGAGTATTAAAAATGAATCGTGAAATTCGATTCATTGCTTGCAATACGGTTCGCTCAATGGAATCGTGGCCAGCACGGATTCATAAGATTTGAACGATGAGCCGTAAAAAAGAATCGTGAGAATTGAATCGGATCATAATGCGATCGTTGCACAGTGGAGTATTAGCATGAAAAAGGTGATCGAAATACGAAAAAGCAAATGTGTTTAAGATTTCCCAAAAAAAGATAAACGATAAGTTAAATCATGTCTGCCATGAATGGCGTTGCTATGGGTGTTTAGTTGCATTCATTTGTTTCAACGAAACGTCAAAGTTGTTACTTCTCACAGATAAGAGGTAAATGGCTAAATTCTATGTTTAAAATTATAAATTGTTGTTGTTCTTGTGCTCCTTTTACGTTTATATTATTGTTTTGATTGAAAATGGCCCAGCAAGCTGCAGGTCTGTATTCTACAAAAACAGATTATTTATTTTGATATTCTCTATACTAACGATTTTTTTTAACTAAAAGTTAGGCGTTCAGAAAATTTGATTAAATTTGTGACATTTTTATTATACTTGAGATTTAGTTGCGCATTTCGAAGAATTCAGCATATTGTCTATATACGTTTTACTTAGTAAACATTGGGCTTTTATACAGTAAAATAAAATACTGCGACTTTTTGCGACTTTTATGCTGATAAAATGAGAAAAACATTCTTGGTTTCCTCTAATTTGCAAATCAGTGATATACTAATGCGAGGTGTAAACCGCGATGGCATTGTTGTGTACAAAGCGCACAATTTGGCGTATAGCACAATTTGGCATTAGTAGCGGCTTTAGTGGAATGGGCATTGGTCGCGGCGCGGATCAGTCGTAGCATTAGTAGTATTAGTTGCGATATTACTACTCGCATTAGTGGCATTGACCGTGGAAACACTGGAACAGTGATTTTACTTTCTTCTTTTAGAATCGACGAATTATCCTTTATTTTGTTCATATTATTTCCTCTTTAATAATTTATATAAGGTCTACATAAAAAAATTTCGATCAACTATCGGTGTCAAATACGCCACCGTGCGTTGGTTCAAAGAGTCGTGAGAATTGAATCATTGTTTACAATACGGTTCGTTCAATTGAATCGTGTCCAGCACGGATCCATAAGATTGGAACGCTGAACCGTAAAAAAGAATGTTTAATGATAGAAAATCCGTATTATTAACGTACTGTACACAAAATTCGTAATTCTACGGATTAATCCGTAGTTCTGGCAACACTGTCTCCGGCAACCACGGACTCTGTCGACTGAAAGCAGAACTACGGTACAGTATTCTTTATCGGCTGCGTTGTAAACGACTATCAGCGCGCAGCGGTGCGTAGGGCTAAACTAAATTTCAGAACTCTCGGACAGGACGATTGTAACGCCAAGTACAGGGTGGGTCAAATTCGACGCTTTTAAATGGAAACACTCTTTTCTATAGGAGATAGACAAAAACTTATATCGGTGTCTGGAGCTCAATTTTTGTCAAAAACATGAAACCGCATATCGATATCTGTTACCGTTTCGTAGTTACGGGGTGTTTTTCAAAAATATGCATTTTTAACAAATCGCTGTAACTTTTTTGCTATAGAAAATTTTGTATTTTTATGAAAACATTTCCAAAGCACCTTTTTACGTAGAATTTAATGGTTGAAGTATAATTTTTTAAAATTAATAATTTAAGAATTATCAACCGAAAATTTGATTTTTTATATGGGACACCCTGTATATTTTTAATTTATTGAAAAGAATTTAAAATTACCTTTCCAAAAATATAACACACTTGATATTTTGCTCGATTCCTCTTCAAGATATTGAGTATATAAAAATTCGCCCGCTTTAAATAAGTAGGCTTTGAACGGCACCGACTGTAATGCAAAAAAATTCTAGCTGTGAGCATCAATTAAAACGAAAATAATATTTGCTATGAGAGATGCAGAATTTTATAACAATTTAAAATATATTTAACCAACATCAACACATTTAAACTATATCTAATAATAATAAAAATAAATAGCAAACCAAGACATGAGATTTTGCACAGGTGTTCGACATATCAACCGACGTCTGTTATGGACAGACGGGGCAGTTTTTGAACATTTCTCGCGGGATTCATTAACTCAGTGGGGGTGAAAGATACCCTCTCATAACTGCTAAGTATTTCTAATTCTTGTCTAGATTGGAAGAATAAGGAACATTTATTCTTCCGCAAATATATCCCTAGGATTAAATCCATGCGCACTAAGTCAGGCGGCCTCGACGGCCAACGGCTGGGATCTTGGTTAGCTATTTAATTATTCTTGAAATTGGCTGCAAACATTTGTTGATAACTTCAGCGTTCAGAGGCGGTGAGTCGTCTTGCTGAAAAAATATGTTTTCGAGTTCCATGAAGGGCATTTCATCAATAAGGGGTTCAAAGCCTACTAGTTAAAAGTGGCGTACTTTGAAAAATTCTGTATTTCGAAGGGGATTATAACAAAATATCAAGTGTGTTATATTTTTGGAAAGGTAATTTTAAATTCTTTTCAGTTAATTAAAAATATAGAGGGTGTCCCAAATAAAAAATCAATTTTTCTGTTGATAACTCTTAAATTATTAATTTTAAAAAAATTATACTTAAACCATTAAATTCTACGTAAAAAGGTGCTTTGGAAATGTTTTCATAGAAATACAAAATTTTCCATATTAAAAAAGTTACAGCGATTTGTTAAAAATGGACATTTTTGAAAAACACCCCGTAACTCCGAAACGGTAACAGATATTGATGTGCGGTTTTCACCATCATGTTTTTGATTAAAATTGAGCTCCAGACACCGATATTAGTTTTCGTCTATCTTCTATAGAAAAGGGTGTTTCCATTTAAAAGCGTCGAATTTGACCCACCCTGTACATCTCGGACAGATTTTGTGCCACGAAATCACTCATAAGGTTGCGCATCTTCTAATTTCTTCAATCAACGATTATATCTAAAATTAGATACTTGCTATCGTCATTTTCAAAGAATAATAGAACAAACTTTAATTAAAGCCCTTTTATTCTTTGCTATGTGCTTAAAGTAATTAAATTTCAAATCTATGGTTTTATGAGCATAAATTACAATTGGAGACTCAGTAAAACTAGATTTAAGATATTTATTTAATATAAGAAGAAAAAAAAAAGACTGAAATACTATGTACATTTACTCTGAAGTAACATTGTGGGCCTTCTGTCAGAATTTTAAACTGAATCCTGCTCCTCCTCGTCTTACGTCGCTGTAATATCGAAATCCATAGCCATCATCATCTTCTCCACCCTAAAAAAATTGAAATATTTTACTATAATTGAATATTATGAAATATACTGTATAACATTTTTTTTAATAATTTAGATTGTAATAAATGGGCTATGCTTATTTAAAATGAAGAATGCAATCCCTTCGATCTTTTTTACATTTTATCAATTTTATGGATATGTTGTTGATATAGTGTATGTTTCATAGCTGTTGTGATGCTTTTTGGCCTTTGGTTCCATCCAAAAACCTAAACTTATGATTGGCTATTTATTCAAAAGGAGCCATCAGCCAAAAGTACTTGCAAACTCAAGTTTCTGACTTTATTTTTTTTTAAATCGTATTTTAAACTTCAATCTAGAATGTGTGGCTGTGTTAAAAACACTAATTTTTAATCAAGGTGCCTTGGAAAAATAGATTTGATCGTCTATTGTTTTCGTGTCTTGTTCTGGCCAGTTAAGAGTCTATTACGCTGTACTTTCGGGTCGCTCTCAGGGGTCGGGTAAAGCGGGTGTGTGGCCGAAGGAAATATATATTATATTTCAGAAATCTGCCTGAAACACATAGCCATCTCTTTATTAACGCAGCTCCGGTAGCTCTCGCAAAAAAGCTGCACAATTCAAGTTTTTTAAGCTCAAACAATGCAATATTTTGAAAAAAGAACTACATTATAACCAGGAGATATCGGCAATGATAATGTTCTTGTCATTTGATCAAAGTTCAGAATTTATTTTCTGTAAAAATAGCGCTAAAACTAAAACCAAAGCTGAACGTGCGCTAAAAACGGCGAGCGTTGTACTGACCATTTTTTTATTTATACCCGTTGTTACTGCTAGCATAAACCGATAGACCTAAATTTTGAATATGTTGTAACCTTTGAATAAGAAGACTAAGGAAGGAGCATAATGCTATCCATGTATTCATGCATGGTGGGCGGAAAAAGCACTCTAGGGTGGGGATCCTTGACAGTTCTGTTTGACGATTCATTTGACACACTTGAATTTGATTTGAAATTTTGTGGATTTGTCAGTCTTTACGGAGCTTATTTTATGTTATTTATTATTTATTCTACTACTGAAAGTTGTATAAAGGTAGTAAATCTAGATGGAAATTGTGGCAGAACTTAAATTAACAGTGACACTATCGCGATTTATCGAAAAAGACTCTAAAATAGTTGGTTGTGTAGCGTGCGGTAGATCTCGGCAAAAATTGAGTGAAATAATGGAACAACTTTTCGCTAGTAAGTGACTATATAATATACATACGTGTAGTAAACCAATCATTTATGAAATTCACTTAAATTAACTAAATTATATATTTTTCTTGCATTTTAGGTTTTATTTACCACTTGTCAAAGATCAGATGTCAAAGAATTTTGAAACGTTAATTTGACTTACCTGCTTCAGTAGCGTATCGGATGTTTGTGTTAATAAATACTTATTATAACTTATCTATTTTTATTAGAATTATATATTTTTATAACAATTTTAATAACTACCAACATTTATTCACAACGTAAAATAAAATAACAAATTATTGAGTCTACCCCACGTCTACCCTACATCCCTACATCATAGTTTTACATTTTTTAAATAAAATTAGAACGGCACTGATAAACCGGAATTTAAGTCGGCCATATTTGAGGCCCACCGCGGTGTACCTAAGATTTTTGATATGCTCCTTCCTTAGTCTTCTTATTCAAAGGTTGTAACTAAATGTATAACTAATTAAATGACAGTATTCATATCTGTCAGTTTTAAAATTTATAACAGAGATTTTTTATCTCAAAGTTATAATATGCTCGGGCAATGTAAACAAATCGAAAATATAAAAAATAATCCAGTTATTTAGGCTTGTCGGAAGCGCTAAAGACTCATGAGTATTTCTGTGCAAAAATCAACACACTACGATTTAAAATTATTTATTTTGTTAAATCGGCGCGTCGCTGTCTCGCTTGCCTACTGGGCTGCCCGCGGCCATGCGCTAAGGTCGTTGTGCAATCCGGACGCTCAATTTGGTACCACACACTTGGTTTGGTAAATGTTTGGTATTTCAAGTCAAATTGTCGTTATGAAACGCATGTTATAATTTCCAATTAAACCATAATATGCAAAAATGTCAAAAGTTAATATAATGTCATTCAATTCAGAGTGTCTTTCTATTGAATAAAGTAATAAAATTATATACGCCGAAAAATACCGAGGGTGTCATTAAAAAATCAAAATATGTAGTTATTTATAGTGAAACAGGATTGAATACAAATCAAATGAATACGTCAATCACTCCTGATTTATGTCATATACTAACGCACCAAATCTATTAAAAAAATAATTCTTTTAGATTTTTTAAGAATTTGATAAAGAATTAGATAATTGAAAACCGTAGAAAGAGTAGGTAAGTGTAGTTGCAGCAGTTGCAGCATACCGGGTGCGTCTCAAAAGTGGCTCACCCCTAAAACTTTTTTATTTTTTTAGTTAAAAGAACGAGATTTAGTATGTTAGTATATGACATAAAATAGGATTGATCGACCTATTCAATTGTTTTCAGTCACTTCCGGTTTCACCGGAAGTGACTGCACCTTTTGATTTCTAAATGGCCCCCCCGGTATCTTTTTACTTTATTCGATAGAAAATGTCACTCTGAAGAGAATGACATATCATATGTCAACTTTTGACATTTTCGCATATGGCTTATTTGAAATTATAACTTGCGGTTCGTAACGAAAATTTGACTCGAAATACCAAGTGTGTGGTATCAAATTATTCGTAAAAAAATGTTTTCTCCAAATATGCTAATGAGTCACCCTCGTCCCATTTGAAAAAATTGAGATTAAAAATACAATTTAAGCATTTTCTAACTGGCCAGGACAAGACACTAAAAACAGTAGACGCTCAAATTTATTTTTCCAAGGCTCCTTGATGAAGAATTAGTGTTTTTAACATAGTCATGACATTCTAGATTGAATTTTAAAATACAACTTTTTATTAAGCGAGAATCTCAAAAGTTGACATATGAAATGTCATTCTATTCAGCACGTCATTTTCTATCGAATAAATTAAAAAAATCCGGGGGTGCCATTTAAAAATCAAAAGTTGTAGTCATTTCCGGTGAAACAGGACGTGTCCAAAAACAATTGAAAGCCGAAGTCAAATTTCACCTAAGTCACCTACTTTATACTATTATATACTACTTTATACTCAAGACAACAAACACTACTGTGTAATATAATCATACTTACTAATTTTTTATACTCCCTGCCACCTGAAGGTGGCTTCGGACTAGCGGCTAGTGCTCGTTTTTGACCCAGTTCGCTCTTTGCAGGCCACGTAGGAAACATAGCTGGATCTATCGGTAAAGGCGGTTCTGTAAAATATGCTTGTTTTAATGCGTCCTCCGCCGTAATCCTTTGAACAGGATCGTATGTGAAGAATTTAATGAGCAATCCTAAGCCAACTTCGCTTAACGTGTTGAATTTTCCACGAAGATTAGATACTGGATATTCGTTAAATTTCATTTTTTTAACAGCGGGTAATTCGTTAAATCCGGGCCATATGCTCTCACTGGGAGTCCCCAAATCCTAAAACATGTATTCACACACATATAGTTTATTCAGCAAGATAATTGACAATGACAGTGTTGCCTATCAGTGTAAAGGCTGCTTTACAGTACGCAACTTTACTTGCATGCAAGAAAAATCGCAGCATTTTTATTTGCCGCAATTAAGTTGAAGTTCACTTTACAGTCGGTAATTTTTATTGGAATATTTTTGTTGCATATGGAATGCTAAGCGATTGCCAATCTGAAAATAACTATAAAAATAAGCAAAAGTTGCACGCAAGTTGAAAAATTGTAGGTCCAGATCTATCATTTGCAAATGCATGAAAACTTACCGCAACTTATCAAATATGCCAGAATGCGTACGCGTTCTAGGAAAAATTGCTGCAACTTTTCTTGCATGTGAGTAAAATTGCGAACTGTAAAACGGCCTTAAGTCAAATGCGGAATATATTTTCTCTTTTTTGGTTGTCTGTCAAAATCGTCTTGTCTCTCACTAATAATTAATAGACTTACATGTATTTATGATCATATTATTGAATAAAAATGAAGCGCTGTAGAAGTGTCTCAGAAATAAGCGCAAGTATTTTAACTGGTAATAACTTCGACCCCAGAAACACGCCTATGAGGTTTTTTTGTGAAAAAAAAATGTTGAAAATTTTATATTTTTCTTGACATTTTCCAAAAAATATTAAAAAACTTTTGAGTGCTGCTTGTTCAGTTCACTGGAAATTTGTATAAAGGGTGTTCCGTAAAACATGTGCCATCTCTCGTGGGGAGATTCCTCACGTAAAAATAATATTTATTTTCATAGGTCCGATTCTGCTTTGTTTCGTAGATACAGGGTGTTAAAATCTTAATATTTTTTCTTTATATTTATGTCGCATTTATAGTAATTTTTATCCCCAAAATTTCATTCGAAACGCTAAAAGTACTTGGAATAAAATTATAATAAATCAAAAAAATAACGGTATTTAAGATAATTACAAAAAAACTAATTTTAAAAAGTTTTAACATCCTGTAACTCCAAAACTATGCATTTCCATACTCATGTTTATAGGAACTTTTTTCATATTTTTTGATGAGGAATCAATGAGTACTTATTTAAAACTTTTGCAAGTTAATGATACTAAATTTTTTTAAAGGTTGATATTAGACTTGGATGAAGGCAAATTAATAAATTTGCGTTTATATCATCAAGGAGGCAAACAAAATATCAAGAGTTAACTTTTAATTGGCATTAAACGACCCACATAATTTTGACATCAAAAGAAAAAAAATCGGTAGCGCACATGATTTTTCTTTTAAATATTCCAGTGATAACCTATATGCACGTCCCTGATGAATTTATCATGAATTTATGTTAAAAATAATCCTAAATAATTCAGATGGCATATGAATGTATTTTCTGCCAAATACACGTGTAAGTGTAGTGTAGTGCTGTCAAGAATCGCAGTGAAATGAAGTGTTATTAAGTGTAGAGTTGCGGTTTTAAGTAAAGCGATAAAACGACGCTCTAACCTAAATACATTAATCTGCTATCTACCAGAGTCCCGTTTTCTAATGTAAGGTAAGATTTTTACTTTTAATCTGAATTTCCAAGTCGTTTTTAAATCTTTCTAGTCGATGTGTCACCACTGGGCGTCGAACAAGTTGAGATTCTGGTAATTGCTTGATATTTGCGACAGATTATCGATTGCTGCCGGCGGCTCTCAAAATGTTGCCATTATCTATTTAAATTTTCAAAGTTAAATAACTCGGTTATTATCACATTATTTTAAAAACGGCAAAGAGAAAATATGTTTCTTTTGGCCAGATCTACCACCCCTTAAAATACTTGCACTTATTTCTGGAACATCCTGTATAAATATCATTTCAATTCAAGCTAATTATTTGTAAAGACGACATTTGTGACAGTAAAAGTAATAACTGTTAGTAATAGGATTTAAACTCTAATATAAAATATATAAACAGTTTCTTTTTTTGGTTTAATACTTAATTTTTAATAGTAATTTTTTTAATACATATTAACCAGAACCAACAATAACTCACCATTAACTGTTACTGTCAAGAACTTGTCAATGTCACTAACCCAACTAAAATTCTGCTTTAACCAATTACCAAAAATGGCCAAGTGGTCACAAAGGATAAAAATGACAATATATTATATCGCTATATATAGGCTCTGTATAATAAGAGAATGGTAAATTTCCACATACATTTAAAAGTTAGTATTTAGACAACAGAAAATATTGTGTTCATCTCTATTTTAATTGATGCCACACAAAAAATAATACCTTAAAAATTCTATTCAATTGGTCCACATCTGATTTTCCTGGAAAAACTGGGTTCATCAAGAGTAGCTCTGCGAAAATGCATCCAACTGACCACATGTCTATTGGCGTGGAATACTAAAAGAATAAATAAAGATCACGGTTTTAGAACGACTAGTATATAAATAAATATGTCCCTACCTCTTTTGTACATAAAAGTAGTTCTGGAGCTCTATACCATTGTGTTACTACAACAGGAGTGTAAGCTTTTAAAGGGGACCCATATTCTCTGGCTAAACCAAAATCTCCAACCTTCAGTATTCCTTTATGAGACAACAACAAATTTGACGTTTTTAGATCTCTGAAAATTTAAATTAGGTAATTTAAACACCTAAAGGCAGATTCATATAGCCAAATAAAATAAAAATCACATAAAAAAGTACCTGTGCAAAATCCAATTGTCATGCAAATGGGCTACGGCTTGTAGTAACTGTTTTAACAGACACTTTATTTCACCAGGCATAAATGTTTGTTTTTTATGGCGCATAGTCTCCATTAGGGATTTTAAATCATGCTCAACATAATCCATGACTATAAAAATTTTATCCATATTACTCCCAACCACTATCTCCCTCACAGTGACAATATTGGCATGCTGACCTAAGAAAAAGGAAAAAAAGTGTTTGAAAGAATATACACTACAGTAGCTAACAATGCTTATGTTTTTACTAAGTACAAATCTTAATAAATATAATTTAAACAATTTGGTTTAATAGTGTGCAGATACTACTGAAAAAAAATACGTTAGCTAAAACAGGAGATGAAAATAATGTCCACTTTGCCATTGTCACTTTTTCTCCATAACTAACAAGTAATAAAGTACAGTTCATACCAAATAAACTTTTAGTTACCTGCTTAAGTTTGACAAGCACAGCGTTGCCCACTTTTAAACTCAAAATATTTTAGGACACAAAAATAAATTAATTATAAATATATAAACAGTTATTATTTACATCAACAAAACTCACCTTCTTAACAGCACTTAAGGGACAAAAAGGGCCATTACTACCGCTTTCCCGTTCAAAATATTCTAATAAAGTTGCGATGAGTTTTTTACGGCTATTAAGCTATCTTGTACACTTCGCACTAAAAGAGGTTCTAAAAAGAACAATGTTTGAGTGCAAGATATGCTATACTCTGTTTTTTTTTCTCAGGTAAGATTTCGACAAACGATGACAGAAGAAAAGCAGATGACCTATACCAATTTATTTTACTATAAAAAGTTTCTAATATTTTTTAAGTTAACTATGGATGGGTTTAAATATAAATCCGTCATTCATCGTCTCTTGTTGTTTTTAACCAGTTTTATTGGTTTATTTCAAAAATGACGGATCGTATTTCCATTTTATTGGTTTGACGGAACGATGAACGACAAACGGACGCCGATGCGTATGAACTCGCCTTTAGATTTTTGGGGCTTGTCAAAGTCTTGCCAAATTATAGGTTATAACTTTGTGGCAACTTATGTCAAATATCTGCGTTTTGGAAGATGATGCATTTTGATTCGTGTTATTACGTGTGTTTTGTGTCTTTCGAAGTCAAGTGGGGGAAAAATCGAGGGAAAATTAACTGTAGACCCAGAGCACAGTTTATAGTTAATACTAGCTGCCCAGGCAGGAAGTCTTATACACCAATAAAGTTACCATCAGTAAAGTTTGTATACCATCTCGTCGTAGATAAGTGCATCTCGTATATGGACAAGGGTCGTACTAAACATATACTACTGGAGTAGCTGTAAAATATCGACATCACATGATAGGTAAATAATGGATTGCTGCAGAAAAATAATGTCAAAAAGGTACTGGTTTAAAAAAATTAGGATTAAAGTTAATTAATCAACCTTTAAGGTATAAAATTTGGTAAGTGTTATTATTAATAAAATAGTTTGTTTTATTTATTCCTGCGGAATATTATAAATTTGTATTTGTACATAAGTTATATTGATAAATATAATAAATGCGGGAAGTTTCTTGAAGCTTGAAAGTAAACAGCGCTTTCAGATGGAGCGGACCGTCCGCGACGGACCGTCCGTCGTGTTTTTTCAAGATAGCCGACGGACGAAGCATACGCGCCCATGTGAAATTGTTCATATAAACTCATGGTACTTGCTCGAAGTCGTGGACGCTCCGCTTCATCTGAAAGCGCTGTAAGAAATAGCTCTTTTTTATATTTTTTTGGTGTGCAAATTGTTACTTCCTCTAGTAGTATTTCTGTATAGTTGATAAGGGGATTGTTACAATAGACTCCGTAGTCCGCGCTGTTTTTACCCTTGGAGGCATCTGTATATATGAATGTGTGAATAGATCTTATATTTTGGGTGATTTCGTAGAATAAGTTTTTGTTAGAAACTTGGCTTTTTTCCAGATTCAGATCGATCACCTTTATCATTTTTGTCTGATGTTGTAGTTGCATTTCGTACCCTGTCACTTTTGTATATTTTGTTAGAGTATTTGTCTAGGTAGCCTAGAGCAGTGACTAGATAAGGCGTCTCCTTGTTTCTCCAGAGTTTGCATTTTTTGCAACTGATTTCCTGATGTTTTTTAAGAGTGTTGTTAATGGGTGGTCATTATGGGAGTAGATTTTTAGGAGAAATTTTACGGAAATATTTTTTCTTCTATAGTTCATTGATTGTTCTTTTGCCTCTGTCAATAACGCCCATGTAGGGGTAGATTTCATGTATCCCAGAATAGTTCTCAGGGATTGAAATTGTTTTTTGTCTATCTTCTCTAGGCCGGTTTTACTTGTTGGTTTAATGAAAATGGAACCAAAGTCTAGGTGCGATTTTACAATGCCGTTGTAGATTACTAGGAGAGTTTTCGGGTCGGCACCCCACCAAACTCTGAGACGAGAAGTTAGACGGTCTGCAATCAAAACTAATGCACTGGCAAATTGCACCTTCATAGGAAGCAGAGCCATAGAGCTACCACAGTGAGGGAGGCAGCTCATCATTACCATACCATACGATATTTTTTTGGTAAGTATGTGGTGTTTTGTTCTTGTTTGTTTTGTATTAACACGTACCGTTATTTTAATAAAACAACTTGATTACATTTTTTCAGTTGTATACAGTTTTTTTCACAATATTTTGATGTAATCCCTTATCAGTCAAATTTTTGAATATATTAATTTCCGCTATGCGTTCCAGTTGTACCAACTTATTTCTTTGTAAAATAAAATAAACTACTTTGAAATTAAAATGACAGACACATCTATCACTGTCAAGGATCTTGTCGTTGGACAGACTATACTAAAAATGTTTGAGCTTAAAGTCTTACAACACATTATTACATTTAAACCAGAAACTCATAATAAAAAAAAACAAAAGTGTCAAAACGAATGACAATGTCAGAAAATAAATAAATATGCGCGGCAACTTGACATTATTTACAGCAGAGCGGGCACCTGAATCCCCAGCGGGAAATATAAATTCCACTTAGTCAGCACGGTGCCGAACATGTCCATAGTTGGTAACATTGGTAACAATTACTAATTTAAAAATCGCGCCCTCGATGACGTAACTAAAAGTTTATTTGATATGAACCGTACACCTAGACTCTTTGAATAAAAAGATTAAGCAAGGAGCTTAGGCAATCACGAAAAATGTTACATCTAGGGTTGGAACTTATTTTTCACAATTAGTTGCTCATTTTACTCTACAGCTGTAATAGAGATTATATTTAGCTTACTACAGCTGTAATAGATTATATTTAGTTTTTAAAATAGTTTTTTTTCCTACACACCGACTTAAAAACCGACAACACTGTATGTCGCTTTTTATTTTGTCTCTCTGTCTGTCAACCGGTCATTTATGTTTACCTCGACGGCGTAGATAAAGTGTCCAGGATGGTATAGTAACTTATCAGTGAAAAGATATTCCACTATTTCTCTCCATTGTTGACCAATCATTTACTGCACGCTAAACAACTAACTAATTAACAGTCTTTTTCGGTAATATGTAATAATGTCACTGTTACTTCAAGTTCTGACACACAATATCTTCTTCTATATTTATTACTTTTGAAGAAAACCAATTTTAGAATAAATAATAAATAACATAAAATTAGTTCAGAAAAATCCAGCAAAGCAGCAAATCAAATTGAAATGAGTTAAATGAAACGTCAAAAAGGACTGTCAATGAGGGGGCGCATAATGTCAATTCCTTCTCTAGATGCACAAATACCTAAATTTATAATAATTTCTTAATCTTTTTATTCAAAGCTTATACCTAAACCTTAACCCAATACTTTCGAATTTTTATCTAAAGTAGATTATAAAATTTAGTGATGGGATAACTCGAGCGAAAATTCGCTCGAGTACTCAATTATTGAAATAACCGACATCGCTCGATTATGAACGAGCGATGCAAGTGACGAGTACCAAGCGACGAACGCAAGCGATCCTAGAATGAAATAAATTGAAATCCGATTTTAATGTGACATACTCGATAAACAGCCGAGCGAATGTTCTTCATACATTGCAGGTAGCAAATTTATACGACGCCGTATATACCGGGTGCGTCTCAATATATATCCTATAACTTTTTTATTTTTTTAGATAAAAAAAATGAGATTTGGTATGTTAGTATATGACATAAATTAGGATTGATTGATGTATTCAATTGTTTTCTGTCACTTCCTGTTTCACCGGAAATGACTACAATTTTTTATTTTTAAATGGTACCCTCGGTATTTTTTACTTTATCCGATAGAAAATGACATTCTAAATAGAATGACGTATCATATGTCAACTTTTGACATATTCGCTCAAAAACAAATTGTATTTTAAATCTCAATCTAGAGTGCCATGTCTGTGTAAAAACACTAATTTTTAATCAAGGAGCCTTGGAAAAATAGATTTGATCGTCTAATGCTTTTAGTGTCTTGTCCTAGCCGGTTAAAAGATGCCCAAATCGTATTTTTGATCATATCTCATTTTTTTTTCAAATGGAACCAGGGTATTTTTAGCATATTTCGAACAAGATTTTTTTTACGAATAATTTGGTACTTCGAGTCAAATTGTCGTTATGAACCGCATGTTACAATTTCAAATAAACCATATGCGAAAATGTCAAAAGTTGACATGTGATATGTCATTCTATTCAGAATATCATTTTCTACCGAATAAAGTAAAAAAATACCGAGGGTGCCATTTAAAAATCATAAGTTGTAGTCATTTCCGGTGAAACCGGAAGTGACCAAAAACAATTGAATATGTCAATCAATCCTAATTTATGTCATATACTAACATACTAAATCTCGTTGTTTCATCTGAAAAAATAAAAAAGTTATAGGGGGTAAGCCACTTTTGAGACGCACTCGGTATATTTATCCGTTGCGTATCTGAGGGACTAAATTTTACGACCTACATCGACAATGCTTCGTAATAAACTAAATCGAGCGATCAAGCGAATCGCTCGCTGCTTACTACTTGCCGTTCGTTACCGAAAGAATATGTGTCCTGCGCACGCAACTTACTGCTTGGCGCTTGGCGTTAACGAGTACTTACAACATGCGACGGGTGAAAACCGTACTTTTAAATACGAGTGATATATCGCTCGAGTGATCACTCGGTTATTGCAATCGCTTGATACTCGAGTACTCGATTATTGAAATTAATCGGTTTTTCCCATCACTAATAAAATTATTAAATGGGTTGTGTCAAAAAAAATATATTATTGTTGTGTCAAAAAAAATATATTATTTAACAATTAAACTTTGTTAAATTATAACTCACCTTTTAATAAAGTATTAATTTCTCTTAAAGAAGTTATAGGAAATCCCTCTTTCTCTTTTTCCATTTTCAATCTTTTCAATGCCACAATCTCATCAGTTCTTTTATCCTTTGCTCTATACACCACCCCATACGTCCCTTCTTCTATTTTGTTAAGACATTTAAATTCCTCTACTGACCTACAACCCTTTAAAGAACATTATTAGATACATATTATAAGCTTGATTCTTTTACAATATACCTGGACTGCAGGAAAGTACGGTGGCAAATCTTCATTTATTTTATTAACAGTTACCGCTGCCTTTTCATCTTTCTCGTTTTTATTCTCTACCTTCTTTTCTTCTTTGTCCTCTTTATTTTCTAACATCTCTTCTTCTACTTCCCGATGTTCAGACGGAGATCGCGACTTTGATCTGTCTGAACTTTGACTTCTTTGACTATAACAATTCAATTAAAATTATTACTTCAAGCAAATCAATGGCAATTATAACCATTACACAATATATCGTCCCATTGCTGCCAAAAGTCACTAACTTACTTTTTATTACTTCCGAGAAAAACGCGTCTAAAGATGAATTGCATTGCATAAAGATGTTATAGTTAGTAACTATTCAATATTAAAGTAAAACATAAATAGCCAGAAATCGTAGTTAATGACTTTTGCAATAGATTCTCCGCTTCAAAACATAGTTAGTGATTGAATTTGGTTGTTCGGAAAAATATTAGTTAGTGACTTTTGGCAGCAATAGGACGATATTTCCTAATAATCAAAATTTCAAAATAATATTATACAGGGTGCATCAAAAAACATGTGCCATCTCTCGTGAGGAGATTCTTCACGTAAAAATAAGATTTATTTTTTATATCAACATAGGTCCGATTCTGATTTGTTTCGTAGCTACAGAAGGTTAAAGTATTTTTTTAGATTTATTATAATTTTCTCCAAATGCTTTTAGCGAATCGAGTGAAATTTTGAAGGTAAAAGTTAATATACAGGGTGGTCCGAACATAACTAAAAAAGTTCGTATAAATTTATGTCCTAAAATGCTTAGTTTCAGATATACGGGGTGTAGAAGTTTCATTTTTATTTCGATTTTTTCTAAATAATTTCTGAAATAATGTCAATATTTGGATGAAAATTGGTATCTGGGAGTTTTTTGACATGAGAAATTTGATTTTGATGTCAATATGACTCCTGCTAGTCGAGAGCGCCACCTTGGTGTGTTTTAACTGTTTTGAAGCGTAATAACTTTTTGTCCGTACCTGTATAAAACTACCGAGTGAAAAAATATACATCTCTGTGATTTTTTACGTAAAAAATATTTTTTTCTAAAAATCGCTACGAGCAACCGTTCTTAAGATATTGAGAATGGAAATAGTAAATACATGTCATTATTGACGAAAAATAAACAAGCGCGTTGAGTAGATAAAAAATGTCTAGACCTATGTGGCGGATTCATCTCTCCAAAAAAAATCCTTTATGGGTATTTCGCCACTGCACTGCAAGAAAATACTGCTTATTGAGTAGATAGTTATTTCACTGAAAAAATAAATTTGGGAAACTTTTATGTTTTTAAATTAATCATAAATTTTTCTGCAAAAAATGATGATAAAACAGTTTCAGTTGAACATTTCAAATTTATAATTTGAGTCTAATAACTATTTAGTCAACATGTTTAATAAATAATTTATGTCAATGATCACAGGTATTGATAATTTCTATTCCAAATATCTTGAAATCCATTACTCGTAACGGCTTTTACCAAGAGACCATTTTCACGTAAAAACATCGTAAATGTATATTTTTTTACTCAGTAGTTTTATACAGGTACAGACGAAAAGTTATTACTCTTCAAACCAGTTAAAAAATATGTAGGTGGCGCCCTCTACTAGTAGGAGTCATATTGACATCAAAATCAAATTTCTCATGTCAAAAAACTCCCAGATACCAATTTTCATCCAAATAATGACGTTACTTCAGAAATTATTTGGAAAAAATCTAAATAAAGCATTTTTTTTTTATTTTTTTTCTCCGAAACTAAGCATTTTAGGACATAATTTATACGTACTTTTTTACTTATTTTTATCTGCAGAATATGTTGCCAAAGTTTCCGGAATACAGTTCGGACCACCCTGTATATCAATTAAACTTTTAGTTATGCAATCTAGGGCGCGATTTTTAAATTCATTGTTGCCAACCGTGGACATATTCGGCGCCGTGCTGACGAACTGGAATTTAAATTTCGCACTGGGGATTCAGGTGATAGCTCTGCTGGAAAAAATGTCAAGCTGCCGCATTTGTTTATTTATTTCCTGACATTGTCATTCGTTTTAACACTTTAGTTTTGTATGACGTTGTTTTTACGAGTTTTTGGTTTAAATAAATAGTGTTGTGATGATTTAAGCTTGAAAATGTTTACCAGCAGACCCTGCAGTTGAACATTGTTCTTTTTAGAACCTCTTTTAGTGCGAAGTATATAAGATAGCTTAATAGCCGTAAAAAACTAATCACAACTTTATTAGAATATTTTGAACGGGAAAGCGGTAGTAATGGCCTTTTATGTCCCTTAGTCCACGGCCACACAGAAAGCTTTTATTGCGTGTCAATCGCTTTTTGCGATTTTACCATTTGAAGCGTTTTTTTTTCGATTTGTGTATATTAAAAACACGCAAAAGAAGCGGCATGTCCCCAGTTTCTATCACGCTGTCGATTAGTAATAAAAAAGGGCTTGGAACTCCCGGCCCGTTCAACAATCAATCCTTTGAGAAAGAGATAGGCGATATCGTCGCGGTTAGCGTTGAAAAGACGAAGATGAAAGATATGATCGGATCGATCGTTGAGCAGGCTGGATATTCGATGACAAACGCAATCTACTGCTAGTGCTAGTGGTGTGTGTAAAAATAATAATTACTATTGGCCATTTATTTTAGAAATTTTAGTTTATTTGTATTTAGATTTTTTATGTTGTAGTTTTGTGGTTACTTGTGTGTTATAATTATAATAATATAATATAATAATTATAATTTTATAATAGATTAAAAATATTACTAATTATAGCTACCGCAATTTTAGGACATGATTTATCAAACTTTTTGAAATGAAATTTCAAGGCCGTGACATAGGAGCTAGCGAGACGGCCCTGACACACAAAAGTGCATAGAAATACGTAGTGACGCGACGTGTATTTGTGAGCAGTCCACGTGTTTATCAAAAATATTGATATTGCAATACAAATTTTGTAAAAGTGAGTAAAATTATTACATGTAAAAAACCATTTGTTACACGTAAAAAACAATTTTTATTATTTTTTTATTTTACGCGAATAAAACTGTTACCCGTAAAAAACTATTTTTTTCGTGTAAGAAACTATTTGTTACACGTAAAAAACTATTTTTTGCGCATAAAAATCTATTTTTTAATTTACTACTTTTTCAACATTTCAAACTACACTTTTTCACACATGTCCTTCAAATCTTTTAAGAATTTTAGATAATACCCTAAAATGAAAAAAATAGTTAAATTCTATTTAATTTATTTTTATTGTATTATTAAATATTACGTCCGCCTGTGACGTTAGAAATCGCTAAAGTTGCGTCTTGTGCGAGACACGCCGAACGCTACACGCTTTTGGTCGGGCCACTCTTATATAATCCTGATATTTTGTTTTAGTCGCAAAAGACGCTTCACGCAAAAACCGCTTTCAGTGTGGCCGTGGGCTTATATAGGAGGATTACTTAAGTTACATGGACATTAGACTATTGTAATAGATTCTAAAGTACCTTAGATTCTAAATTGAAGATATACTATGTCCTTACCTACTAGGACTCCGACTTCTTGATTTTGTCCTAGATCTATTCTCTGAATAAGCACTCTCCTCTCCTGAAGAACTTTTGCTTGGACTTCGACTTCTAGACTTGCTATGGCTTCTGCTACGACTTGGACTTCTACTTTCCCCACTCTCCATATCTTCTTTGTCTGATAAACTATTATCTGATTCGTTTTCTTGATCAGAAGTATCAGACACAGTGACAATCTAAAAAGTCAATTAATAAAATAAAAAAAAATATATAAAAGTTATTTAAATTGTTACTTGAACAGACTCCTCAACTTTTAGTCTTTTTGAGTAATTATCTTCTTCTTGTTGTTTACGTTTGGCTACTCTTTCCAAATGTCTACGAACGCGTTCGACTTTTGACTGTTCTTTTAAACGGGCCATTTCTCGCTCTGAAAGTTAAATGTTATTATAAAAATGTTCTAAGAGTTTTACAATAAAAGTTTTACCAGCTTCTAAAAGTTTTTCTTTTCTATGCTCTTGTTCAAGTTTCTCCTCTTCTGTTAAAGCCTTCTCAGGATCTCTTTCTTTTTTATATTTCCTTTCCTCCGTAGTGATATTTAGTATTTCCTTAACATAACTACCAGATTCCCCTAAAATGTACTAACATTTTAGATACAATAATATAATATATCTAATAATTTCTACCTTGAAGTGGATCTTCATGACTTTCAACTCTATGTCTATACTTTCTATGTCTTCTACTATCTTTTTCAGATTTATAACCATCTTCACCTCTCCTTTTCTCAATCAACCTAAAAACCAATGAAAATAATTGCTCGAACATATTGTACTTTCTTATTTATGATATACTTTAATAGTATTTTAAAATAAAATACATATCTTTAATAAACAATGCAATATGTTATCAAATTACTTTCATTTAGTATAACCAAGTAATCGAAAAAAACGGTATATCTTGATGACATTCACTAAAATATGGCGAATGTCATCGATCGACATTTCTAAACAAACTTGAAACCGTTTTTTTTCCATTTCTTACGGTATATTAAGAATACAAACCCTAACTCTGATGTCAGTCTAAAACAAAAATTATTAAAACTGTATAATATTTAAATAATTTTTTTCAAAACAAGAAATACTAAATTAAAAATTGACACAAACCTTTCTCTCAAGTCTGCCAAAGCTTTGCTATCTCTGTCTCTCTTTTCTTCCTCGTACCTCACGTGTCTTTCATGTAAATCTCTAGTATCACTTCTTCTATCCTAAAGAACAAAAAGTATTTTTTTACGTGTATAAGCCTAACATATAATTTTCAACTTTCTTAAACTTATAAAAAGAACATAATTAAATCAACCCCACTGGCTTTTGTTCTACAAACAAGGTGTCACATATTGAATCAATAATGCTGAATGTAACTACACACGTTAGTAGGTTGGCACTTCTGACTTCACAAAAAAATTGATGGAAAAGTAGAACTTGCCCTATAGCGACAAGAAATTCATGAATTTGATCTTGAATTTATTTTAGAAACAAGTTGCCAATTTACATTTATCAAGTCTTGTCGTGAAGAGACTTCGCGAAGAAATTCATGAATAAATTGTCAGTGTAAAACAGGCTTAATATAAGATCAAAAAAAAATGGCGAGTTGACTCATTACCCCCTCCACTCAAGGCCAATCAACATCATATGGGCAAGGCAAATATGGCGGCGGAGGCTGTTGTTTACCTTTAACCATCGTTCCGTTTGCATACCAGAAATAATTAATTATCTCTAGTTTGTTCTGCTTCTGCAACACGTTTGTTTAGTTTTTAGTGTTCAGTGCATGGTGTGATCAGAAAATTGTGATAAAATAAGAATGTAATAAAAATCCAAACCAGACATTCCACATAGGGAACTTCAAACTTTTGTGCTTGTCGTACCTGCTCCTGTATTATTAATTATTTTTAGGTAAGAACTAGAAGTATTTATCACCTAAATTAGTAAAAAGCCTTCACCGCCAGTCTGCATAGTACTTTATAATGGTTACTTACAATAATCAAAACAAAGGTATTAAAGGGTTAACATTTTAATGTAGCATGCCTTTTACATGCTCTGTTCCAAATTGTCACGGGAATTATAGAGGGGGTCCCAAGGTTTCTGCTTTTATATACCCCAAAAATGACGAGCTTCGTAAAAAATGGTTGACAGCTATGAAAAGAGATAATTTCACTCCTACTCTTAACTCACTAAGAAGTGCATTAAATATGCCTCAAAAAGGCCATCAAACATCAAACTATTAAATCGATCTTATTCAGACTATCTAATGTTTTATTGAAGAACTATGCAAAAAAAGGAATAACGTCTTTACCACAAAGACAATGCCCTATGTAAAGAGAAAGAGTAAAGAAAACTAAGCTTAAGTTTTACTTACGAACCCCCAAAAAGGTATTTAGTTTTTTTTTTCTATATAAAATCTTGAAACAGATTATATTTTTTAGTTATCCTCACCTATATTATAGTTTAAATTTATTCCCATTTGTGTAATGCTGCAAAACAGAAAAAATATTCCATATTTTTTTATTCAAGCCAGTGTAATTTATAATTCCAAGAGCATTTACCAAGGCTTTTACTAAGACAAGTAACTTCCTATACTGTCCATAATAGTGTTACGTTTTTCGTCGGTTCCGTGTGGATAGAAAGTCACAATTTATTTAAACACTATTTATTTAACACTAATTAACAAAAACAATAACGATAAAAGACTTATAGAACTATTTACAAACGATTTATAACTAAGAATTTATTTTGCATTTTAGCGCGTCAAATGCACTGGTATATTTATAACTGCCCTCTCTAGGCCACTGCCGCCGGCTTTTATACCGACAGGTAAAAGAAATCTAGAATAGTCCATAGATCGTTAGGCGCATAGAGAAGGTTTTCGAATGTTCTCGTATGTACTAGTCCATTCTAGTGGGTCTCTATTCTTCTCGAACGAATTAATCATTGCGGTGTCTATGCGATGTTAAGGTCATCCGAGGGCGGGCCATATTGTGAGGTTAGGTCGAGTCCACACCGGCTCGCAACACTGCCCCCTTCTTAGGCACATGCTCGTCCCGAGATTATACGGTGAATGAAGGTATTTGCAAAGCTGGCCCCTGGTACATTGCGAAGTCTGGTAGAAATAGCAGTCTACAGTTTTCTCTCCCGATCTCAGCTTTGGGTTGTAGCAGCAAACGAGGATCTCGATTCCCGTAAATCTGAACAAGACTTCAATCATGTTCCGGATTGTACGCCAACTCAAACCATCGAGTCCACACGCCAGCTTCGGAATGGCTAATCGTGCAATGTTGTTGTTTAGCAGGGCTTCTCTCAGTTCAATCAGGGTCTTCCATAGATTGAGATAAGTCGGCTTACTCGGGGACCATTCCTTGGTGACCAGGTAGAAGATGTGCCTTGCTTGACCATGTGCATTGTCGGTTAGCCTCAAGACGCTTCCAACCTCTGGATCCTGTCGGCGTAGTTCTCCGACACGCCCAAACTTCTCATTGAACGTCGCAGCGATTCCTCTGGACATCCGCAAATCTCGAGCCACACAATGAGCGAGCGAATAATCAGGAGGCACGGAAAAGAGGTCTCGTTGATCTTCTTTGGTTACACCATAGCGAGCCTTCTCACTGCTGTTGTATCGGGCCATGAAATCGTCAAAGGACATCTCCGAATCAGGGGGATCAAAGCTGCAGGTTCTCACGGTCCCAGCACGATCTTCTATTTCGCCTTGGTAGGGGCTCAAACGGTTGAAATGGACTACCCTCGGTTTTCCTTTTGGCAATTTTCTGATACGGTATACGACGTCATTAATTCTATCCATGACTTCGTATGGCCCTTCCCACGAGGATTGTAGCTTCGGAGATAACCCACGACGTCTCTGCGGGTTATATAGCCACACCAACTTCCCTGGTTGGTATCCTCCATGCTCAGCTTGAATGTCGTAGTGTTCCTTCATTCGGTCACTAGCACTTTGAATATTTAGGCGGACTCTCTGATGAATGTCGTCCATCCTTTGACGTAGTGTGTGGACATAATCTTCTCCGGCGACTTCTTCTCCCGGTCGGCAACCAAATTTCAGATCACAGGGTAGGCGCACTTCCCGTCCCATAACGATGCTGGCTGGAGTTTGCCCTGTAGATTCTTGGACGGATGAACGGTAGGCCAACAGGAACAGGTGAAGAAATTTGTCCCAGTCTCTTTGGTGGTCAGAGACTACTTTGGCCAGATAACGGTTGATAGTTCTGTTCATGCGTTCAACCATCCCATCGGATTGTGGATGTAGAGCAGTCGTCCTGGTCTTGCGGATGTTCAGGACTTCACAGACGCCTTGGAACAGATTGGACTCAAAGTTTCTTCCCTGATCTGAATGAAGCTCCATGGGAACACCAAACCTGCAGATCCATTCTTTAACAAGGGCATCAGCAATCGTGGACGCTTCTTGATTTGGCAACGCGTAGGCCTCGACCCATTTGCTGAAGTAATCCATTACTACCACAATGTATTTGTTGCCATCGTTCGTCTCCGGGAAAGGACCAGCCACGTCGATCGCTATTCGTTCGAAGGGACTACCAACATTGTACTGGCGCATAGGGGCTTTACCACGCTTTTGTGGCCCATTAATGGCTGCGCAAATGTCACATTTCTTACACCAGGCCCTCACATCTTCTTTGCAGTTCACCCAGTAGAACCGTTCACGCAGCTTGCCAAGTGTCTTGGTAACACCAAGATGTCCACCGCTGGTTCCATTGTGAACTTCCGCCAAGATTTCCGGGACCCTCTTCTTTGGAATGACGATCTGCCTTCTCTCTTCTTGTCCCTCTGGTCTCTCAATCACACGGCGAAGTAATCCGTTATCTATTACCAATGAATTCCACTACGGACCAGTACGACTTCACGTTCGGCGAATATCTGCAAACTTCCTCCCACGTTGGTCTCTGGTCCGCGTTTTTCCAGTTAATCACCAAGCCCAACTCTGGATCACTGATTTGGTCATTTGCAAGATCTTCGGTTTGCCAACTATCACCAACCACAGTCGTCCTTAAGACTTTCACTTCTTTCTCTTCTTTGCAACGATTTCCCATCTGTCCGCAATTCCAACAGCGAATCGGTCCCCCCTTCTTACTCATATACTGATCCAGTACTTTCCGCACAATCCTTTCCACTTTGGAATCGTCGGAACTCTCCTCAACAGCCCGTACAAATCCTAGAGACCTAGAGCATTCTTTCGCGGCCTCAAATTCCAGGGCACGTGCTAGGGCATCTCCCAAATGCGTTGGATGAGCTAAAAGAAGTGTTTGCCTTGTCTCGTTGTCACATAAACCATCAATAAAAGCCTGTACTTTTAAGCGCTCCATAACATTTTCGGGCATAGCAGGGTACGCAAGGCGAACGAGGCGGGCTACGTCGGCTTCAAACTCCTGCAGAGACTCATTTGACTTTTGAATGCGATTTTTTAGCTGGGAATGATAGACATGTTCCAAATGAGCTTGGCCGTACCTCATTTCTAAATGTCGTACCAATTGCTGATAATCTCCCTGTTCCGATGGTGACAGTGTCTGCAGGATATCAGTCGCATCTCCCCGCAGTGCGATAGTCAAAGCGGTAGCTTTTTCAGCGATTGTCCAGCCGTTTGCTCTCGAAGCGGCTTCAAATTGGCAAATGTAGTTGGCCCAAGCGGTTTTTCCGTCAAACTGCGGAGGTTTCATAACTGATTTTGAGGTATACCTATTTTCGACTAGTTTCGGTCTCTCCGATGTTTCTTGACATTTTGGTGAATTTGACTTGGCTATTTCTTCTTTTAAAATTTCGATTTTTCTATTTACATCTTCCTCAATCTCTGTTATTTTATCTTGTGTATCTATTATCTTTTCTTCTAATTCCTGTATTTTATTATTAAAGCTGGCCTGTATATCTTTAGAATTTTCTGCGATCTTATCTTCTAAAATATTAATTAAATCCTGGGAATTTTTCATCATTTTATCACTGATTTTATCTTCTAAATTATTCAAATTGCCGTTTAAATTGTCTTGCAATTCTCGGGAATTTTCTGTAATTTTGTCATTCAAACTGTCTTCTAATTTTTGAGAGTTTTCCGTCATTTTATCTTCTAATTTTTGTAGGCACGAGTCAAGGTCACCTTCGAACTCAAAGCAAAATGTGTCCGGATCCTCGCCTTCCTCCCTCAAAACGTCTCTCAGTCTGGTTTGCAAAATACTTTTCTTTCCATCTGTCTCGC